CTGCCTGATGCCTCTCTTCCCCTTGATGTAGAATCCGTGGACTGTCTTTGACCAGATACTGAATGTCCAGAGGAGTCTCGTTCCTGTCTGCTGCTGGTTCCATGCCTACTTTCACCACTGGCATCTCTGGACTCTCTCTCACCAGACACAGCGTGCCTAGAAGAATCACTTTCCTCTCTCCTGCCTGATCGCTCGCTTCCCCTTGATGTAGAATCTGTGGACTGTCTTTGACCAGTCACTGAGTGCCCAGAAGAGTCTCGTTCCTGTCTGCTGCTGGATCCATGGCTAACCCCACTACTAGCATCTCGGGATTTTGTCTGACCGGACCCTGAGTGCCTAGAATCATCATGTTCCTGTCTCCTGCCAGATACCTCTCTTCCACTAGAGCTCGAATCCGTGGACTGTCTCTGACCCGTCACTGAGTCCCCAGAAGAATCTCGTTCCTGTCTGCTGCTGGATTCATGGCCTACCCCACTACTAGCATCTCTGGATTGTCTGTGACCAGACCTTGAGTGTCTAGTATCATCACATTCCTGTCTCCTGCCTGATCCCTCTCTTCCCCTTGATGTAGAATCCGTGGACTGTCTTTGACCAGTCACTGAGTGCCCAGAAGAGTCTCGTTCCTGTCTGCTGCTGGATCCATGGCTAACCCCTACTAGCATCTCTGGAGTTTGTCCGACCGGTCCCTGAGTGCCTAGAATCATCATGCTCCTGTCTCCTGCCAGATACCTGTCTTCCACTAGACCTCGAATCCGTGGACTCTCTCTGACCAGTCACTGAGTGTCCCGAAGAGTCACGTCCCTGTCTGCTGCTGGATCCATGCCTACCCCCAGTACTGGCATCTCTGGGCTCTCTGTGACCAGACCCTGAGTGTCTAGTATCATCATGTTCCTGTCTCCTGCCTGATCCCTCTCTTCCCCTTGATGTAGAATCCGTGGACTGTCTTTGACCAGATACTGAATGTCCAGAGGAGTCTCGTTCCTGTCTGCTGCTGGTTCCATGCCTACTTCCACTACTAGCATCTCTAGACTGTCTCTGACCAGATACCGCGTGTCTGGAAGAGTCACGTTCCTCTCTCCTGCCTGATCCCTCTCTTCTGGTAGACCTAGAATCTGTGGACTGTCTTTGACCCGACCCTGAGTGTGTCGAATCATCATGTTCCTGTCTCCTGCCTGATCCCTCTCTTCCCTTCGATGTAGAATCCGTGGACTGTCTTTGATCACTCACTGAATGTCCAGAGGAGTCTCTTTCCTGTCTGCTGCTGGATCCATGCCTTCCCCACTGCGAGCATCACTGGACTCTCTTTCATGGGACACAGAGTGTCTGGAAAAATCTTGTTCATGTCTCCTGCCTGATCCCTGTCTTCCCCTTGATGTAGAATCTGTGGATTGTCTTTGACCTGTCACTGAGTGCCCAGAAGAGTCTCGTTCCTGTCTGCTGCTGGTTGCACGCCTACTTGCACCACTGGCATCTCTGGACTCTCTCTCACCAGACACAGCGTGCCTAGAAGAATCACTTTCCTCTCTCCTGCCTGATCGCTCGCTTCCCCTTGATGTAGAGTCTGTGGACTGTCTTTGACCAGTCACTGAGTGCCCAGAAGAGTCTCGTTCCTGTCTGCTGCTGGATCCATGGCTAACCCCACTACTAGCATCTCTGGAGTTTGTCCGACCGGTCCCTGAGTGCCTAGAATCATCATGCTCCTGTCTCCTGCCAGATACCTGTCTTCCACTAGACCTCGAATCCGTGGACTCTCTCTGACCAGTCACTGAGTGTCCCGAAGAGTCACGTCCCTGTCTGCTCCTGGAAGCATGCCTACCCCCAGTACTGGCATCTCTGGATTCCCTGTGACCAGACCCTGTGTGTCTAGTATCATCATGTTCCTGCCTCCTGCCTGATCCCTCTCTTCCCCTTGATGTAGAATCCGTGGACTTTCTTTGACCAGATACTGAATGTCCAGAGGAGTCTCGTTCCTGTCTGCTGCTGGTTCCATGCCTACTTTCACCACTGGCATCTCTGGACTCTCTCTCACCAGACACAGCGTGCCTAGAAGAATCACTTTCCTCTCTCCTGCCTGATCGCTCGCTTCCCCTTGATGTAGAATCTGTGGACTGTCTTTGACCAGTCACTGAGTGCCCAGAAGAGTCTCGTTCCTGTCTGCTGTTGGATCCATGGCTAACCCCACTACTAGCAACTCGGGATTTTGTCTGACCGGACCCTGAGTGCCTAGAATCATCATGTTCCTGTCTCCTGCCAGATACCTCTCTTCCACTAGAGCTCGAATCCGTGGACTGTCTCTGACCCGTCACTGAGTCCCCAGAAGAGTCTCGTTCCTGTCTGCTGCTGGATCCATGGCCTACCCCACTACTAGCATCTCTGGATTGTCTGTGACCAGACCTTGAGTGTCTAGTATCATCACATTCCTGTCTCCTGCCTGATCCCTCTCTTCCCCTTGATGTAGAATCCGTGGACTGTCTTTGACCAGTCACTGAGTGCCCAGAAGAGTCTCGTTCCTGTCTGCTGCTGGATCCATGGCTAACCCCACTACTAGCATCTCTGGAGTTTGTCCGACCGGTCCCTGAGTGCCTAGAATCATCATGCTCCTGTCTCCTGCCAGATACCTGTCTTCCACTAGACCTCGAATCCGTGGACTCTCTCTGACCAGTCACTGAGTGTCCCGAAGCGTCACGTCCCTGTCTGCTGCTGGATCCATGCCTACCCCAGTACTGGCATCTCTGGACTCTCTGTGACCAGACCCTGAGTGTCTAGTATCATCATGTTCCTGTCTCCTGCCTGATCCCTCTCTTCCCTTGATGTAGAATCCGTGGACTGTCTTTGACCAGATACTGAATGTCCAGAGGAGTCTCGTTCCTGTCTGCTGCTCGCTCCATGCCTACTTCCACTACTAGCATCTCTAGACTGTCTCTGACCAGATACCGCGTGTCTGGAAGAGTCACGTTCCTCTCTCCTGCCTGATCCCTCTCTTCTGGTAGACCTAGAATCTGTGGACTGTCTTTGACCCGACCCTGAGTGTGTCGAATCATCATGTTCCTGTCTCCTGCCTGATCCCTCTCTTCCCTTCGATGTAGAATCCGTGGACTGTCTTTGATCACTCACTGAATGTCCAGAGGAGTCTCTTTCCTGTCTGCTGCTGGATCCATGCCTTCCCCCACTGCGAGCATCACTGGACTCTCTTTCATGGGACACAGAGTGTCTGGAAAAATCTTGTTCATGTCTCCTGCCTGATCCCTGTCTTCCCCTTGATGTAGAATCTGTGGATTGTCTTTGACCTGTCACTGAGTGCCCAGAAGAGTCTCGTTCCTGTCTGCTGCTGGTTCCATGCCTACTTGCACCACTGGCATCTCTGGACTCTCTCTCACCAGACACAGCGTGCCTAGAAGAATCACTTTCCTCTCTCCTGCCTGATCGCTCGCTTCCCCTTGATGTAGAGTCTGTGGACTGTCTTTGACCAGTCACTGAGTGCCCAGAAGAGTCTCGTTCCTGTCTGCTGCTGGATCCATGGCTAACCCCACTACTAGCATCTCTGGAGTTTGTCCGACCGGTCCCTGAGTGCCTAGAATCATCATGCTCCTGTCTCCTGCCAGATACCTGTCTTCCACTAGACCTCGAATCCGTGGACTCTCTCTGACCAGTCACTGAGTGTCCCGAAGAGTCACGTCCCTGTCTGCTGCTGGATGCATGCCTACCCCCAGTACTGGCATCTCTGGATTCCCTGTGACCAGACCCTGTGTGTCTAGTATCATCATGTTCCTGCCTCCTGCCTGATCCCTCTCTTCCCCTTGATGTAGAATCCGTGGACTTTCTTTGACCAGATACTGAATGTCCAGAGGAGTCTCGTTCCTGTCTGCTGCTGGTTCCATGCCTACTTTCACCACTGGCATCTCTGGACTCTCTCTCACCAGACACAGCGTGCCTAGAAGAATCACTTTCCTCTCTCCTGCCTGATCGCTCGCTTCCCCTTGATGTAGAATCTGTGGACTGTCTTTGACCAGTCACTGAGTGCCCAGAAGAGTCTCGTTCCTGTCTGCTGCTGGATCCATGGCTAACCCCACTACTAGCATCTCGGGATTTTGTCTGACCGGACCCTGAGTGCCTAGAATCATCATGTTCCTGTCTCCTGCCAGATACCTCTCTTCCACTAGAGCTCGAATCCGTGGACTGTCTCTGACCCGTCACTGAGTCCCCAGAAGAGTCTCGTTCCTGTCTGCTGCTGGATCCATGGCCTACCCCACTACTAGCATCTCTGGATTGTCTGTGACCAGACCTTGAGTGTCTAGTATCATCACATTCCTGTCTCCTGCCTGATCCCTCTCTTCCCCTTGATGTAGAATCCGTGGACTGTCTTTGACCAGTCACTGAGTGCCCAGAAGAGTCTCGTTCCTGTCTGCTGCTGGATCCATGGCTAACCCCACTACTAGCATCTCTGGAGTTTGTCCGACCGGTCCCTGAGTGCCTAGAATCATCATGCTCCTGTCTCCTGCCAGATACCTGTCTTCCACTAGACCTCGAATCCGTGGACTCTCTCTGACCAGTCACTGAGTGTCCCGAAGCGTCACGTCCCTGTCTGCTGCTGGATCCATGCCTACCCCCAGTACTGGCATCTCTGGACTCTCTGTGACCAGACCCTGAGTGTCTAGTATCATCATGTTCCTGTCTCCTGCCTGATCCCTCTCTTCCCCTTGATGTAGAATCCGTGGACTGTCTTTGACCAGATACTGAATGTCCAGAGGAGTCTCGTTCCTGTCTGCTGCTCGCTCCATGCCTACTTCCACTACTAGCATCTCTAGACTGTCTCTGACCAGATACCGCGTGTCTGGAAGAGTCACGTTCCTCTCTCCTGCCTGATCCCTCTCTTCTGGTAGACCTAGAATCTGTGGACTGTCTTTGACCCGACCCTGAGTGTGTCGAATCATCATGTTCCTGTCTCCTGCCTGATCCCTCTCTTCCCTTCGATGTAGAATCTGTGGACTGTCTTTGATCACTCACTGAATGTCCAGAGGAGTCTCTTTCCTGTCTGCTGCTGGATCCATGCCTTCCCCCACTGCGAGCATCACTGGACTCTCTTTCATGGGACACAGAGTGTCTGGAAAAATCTTGTTCATGTCTCCTGCCTGATCCCTGTCTTCCCCTTGATGTAGAATCTGTGGATTGTCTTTGACCTGTCACTGAGTGCCCAGAAGAGTCTCGTTCCTGTCTGCTGCTGGTTCCATGCCTACTTGCACCACTGGCATCTCTGGACTCTCTCTCACCAGACACAGCGTGCCTAGAAGAATCACTTTCCTCTCTCCTGCCTGATCGCTCGCTTCCCCTTGATGTAGAGTCTGTGGACTGTCTTTGACCAGTCACTGAGTGCCCAGAAGAGTCTCGTTCCTGTCTGCTGCTGGATCCATGGCTAACCCCACTACTAGCATCTCTGGAGTTTGTCCGACCGGTCCCTGAGTGCCTAGAATCATCATGCTCCTGTCTCCTGCCAGATACCTGTCTTCCACTAGACCTCGAATCCGTGGACTCTCTCTGACCAGTCACTGATTGTCCCGAAGAGTCACGTCCCTGTCTGCTGCTGGATGCATGCCTACCCCCAGTACTGGCATCTCTGGATTCCCTGTGACCAGACCCTGTGTGTCTAGTATCATCATGTTCCTGCCTCCTGCCTGATCCTCTCTTCCCCTTGATGTAGAATCCGTGGACTTTCTTTGACCAGATACTGAATGTCCAGAGGAGTCTCGTTCCTGTCTGCTGCTGGTTCCATGCCTACTTTCACCACTGGCATCTCTGGACTCTCTCTCACCAGACACAGCGTGCCTAGAAGAATCACTTTCCTCTCTCCTGCCTGATCGCTCGCTTCCCCTTGATGTAGAATCTGTGGACTGTCTTTGACCAGTCACTGAGTGCCCAGAAGAGTCTCGTTCCTGTCTGCTGCTGGATCCATGGCTAACCCCACTACTAGCATCTCGGGATTTTGTCTGACCGGACCCTGAGTGCCTAGAATCATCATGTTCCTGTCTCCTGCCAGATACCTCTCTTCCACTAGAGCTCGAATCCGTGGACTGTCTCTGACCCGTCACTGAGTCCCCAGAAGAGTCTCGTTCCTGTCTGCTGCTGGATCCATGGCCTACCCCACTACTAGCATCTCTGGATTGTCTGTGACCAGACCTTGAGTGTCTAGTATCATCACATTCCTGTCTCCTGCCTGATCCCTCTCTTCCCCTTGATGTAGAATCCGTGGACTGTCTTTGACCAGTCACTGAGTGCCCAGAAGAGTCTCGTTCCTGTCTGCTGCTGGATCCATGGCTAACCCCACTACTAGCATCTCTGGAGTTTGTCGACCGGTCCCTGAGTGCCTAGAATCATCATGCTCCTGTCTCCTGCCAGATACCTGTCTTCCACTAGACCTCGAATCCGTGGACTCTCTCTGACTAGTCACTGAGTGTCCCGAAGAGTCACGTCCCTGTCTGCTGCTGGATCCATGCCTACCCCCAGTACTGGCATCTCTGGACTCTCTGTGACCAGACCCTGAGTGTCTAGTATCATCATGTTCCTGTCTCCTGCCTGATCCTCTCTTCCCCTTGATGTAGAATCCGTGGACTGTCTTTGACCAGATACTGAATGTCCAGAGGAGTCTCGTTCCTGTCTGCTGCTCGCTCCATGCCTACTTCCACTACTAGCATCTCTAGACTGTCTCTGACCAGATACCGAGTGTCTGGAAGAGTCACGTTCCTCTCTCCTGCCTGATCCCTCTCTTCTGGTAGACCTAGAATCTGTGGACTGTCTTTGACCCGACCCTGAGTGTGTCGAATCATCATGTTCCTGTCTCCTGCCTGATCCCTCTCTTCCCTTCGATGTAGAATCCGTAGACTGTCTTTGATCACTCACTGAATGTCCAGAGGAGTCTCTTTTCTGTCTGCTGCTGGATCCATGCCTTCCCCCACTGCGAGCATCACTGGACTCTCTTTCATGGGACACAGAGTGTCTGGAAAAATCTTGTTCATGTCTCCTGCCTGATCCCTGTCTTCCCCTTGATGTAGAATCTGTGGATTGTCTTTGACCTGTCACTGAGTGCCCAGAAGAGTCTCGTTCCTGTCTGCTGCTGGTTCCATGCCTACTTGCACCACTGGCATCTCTGGACTCTCTCTCACCAGACACAGCGTGCCTAGAAGAATCACTTTCCTCTCTCCTGCCTGATCGCTCGCTTCCCCTTGATGTAGAGTCTGTGGACTGTCTTTGACCAGTCACTGAGTGCCCAGAAGAGTCTCGTTCCTGTCTGCTGCTGGATCCATGGCTAACCCCACTACTAGCATCTCGGGATTTTGTCTGACCGGACCCTGAGTGCCTAGAATCATCATGTTCCTGTCTCCTGCCAGATACCTCTCTTCCACTAGAGCTCGAATCCGTGGACTGTCTCTGACCCGTCACTGAGTCCCCAGAAGAGTCTCGTTCCTGTCTGCTGCTGGATCCATGACCTACCCCACTACTAGCATCTCTGGATTGTCTGTGACCAGACCTTGAGTGTCTAGTATCATCACATTCCTGTCTCCTGCCTGATCCCTCTCTTCCCCTTGATGTAGAATCCGTGGACTGTCTTTGACCAGTCACTGAGTGCCCAGAAGAGTCTCGTTCCTGTCTGCTGCTGGATCCATGGCTAACCCCACTACTAGCATCTCCGGAGTTTGTCCGACCGGACCCTGAGTGCCTAGAATCATCATGCTCCTGTCTCCTGCCAGATACCTGTCTTCCACTAGACCTCGAATCCGTGGACTCTCTCTGACCAGTCACTGAGTGTCCCGAAGAGTCTCGTCCCTGTCTGCTGCTGGATCCATGCCTACCCCCAGTACTGGCATCTCTGGATTCTCTGTGACCAGACCCTGTGTGTCTAGTATCATCATGTTCCTGTCTCCTGCCTGATACCTCTCTCCCCCTTGATGTAGCATCTGTGGACTGTCTTTGACCACTCAGTGAATGTCCAGAGGAATCTCTTTCCTGTCTGCCGCTGGATCCATGCCTTCCCTCACTCCTAGTATCTGTGGCCTGTCTTTGACCAGAGCCAGAATATCCTAAGCCGTCACGTCCCTGTCTGTTGCTGGATCTATGCCTTTCCCGTGCACTGGAGTCACTGGATTGTCTTTGATCTGACTCTGAATTTTCAGATGAATCTCCTACCTGTTGTCGACTTTTTTCTTGGTTTTCTCCTCTTCCTGTACTAGACCCTCTTTTTCTCCGTGTAGACTCTTCATTACCAGATCTTGCCTCTCTGTGGCTGTCTCCTGTTTGACCTTCAGTATACCTTGATTTTCCATAACTGTGTCTCTTTCTTTGACTTGAACTTGATCCTGTATTTGATGAAGACTGTCTGTGTGTAGAATCTGCGCCTCTGGTGTTGTCTCTTGTTTGTCTCTCATTATCAGTTGATTGTGTGGAAGTGGATTCGTGTCTTCTTCTTGTGGTGGAATCACTATGTTCCTGTGTAGATGAGGACCGTCTCTCATCAGACCCTGCATTTCTTGACCTGCCTGCTGCTTGTGCTTCCCTCTCACTATCACTGTACTCACTGGTAGTAGATCCCTGCCTTCTGCTTCTTTTGGATCCTGAATGTGTATAAGTTCTTCGTGGGTGATCTGATACTGAGTGTCCACCTGTGCCCCCTCTCTGATACTCAGACCTTGAAGACTCACCTGTATCTGAGTCTTGTGAACTGAAGCAAGGGCATTGACATTTGCCATACCACTGTTGTTCGTATCTAGGATTCTGTCCTATGCCTGATCTCTGATGTCCATAAGTAGAGGAATTTCCTGAACTTGATCTGTAATGTTGTGAACTAGAAGACTGACCTGTTCCTGACCCATGTTGGTCATAACTGGAGGGCTGACCTGAGCCACACCTTTGTTGTCCATAGCTAGAGGACTGTGCTGAGCCCGATCCTTGTCCATATCTGGAGGACTGACTTGAGCAGGACCAACATTCTTGTCCTCCACAACTTTGGAACTGACTACCTGAGTTTGTTACTCTTTCCTCACACTTTTCTGAACTTATTGACATGTATCTCTGTTCTTCTCCCTGTGATTCGTTAGACTGACAGGAATCAGATCTTCTTTGTCTTCCATAGCCATTTGGTTGACTATAGGCAAGTTCATGATGTTTTCTGCCATAGCTTCCTGTTTGGCAAGACTTGTATCTTTGTCTTTGTTCTCCACACTCTTCCAACTGGCTAGAGTTAGAGCTATGTTCTTCACTCTCCAGCCCCAAGGTTAAGACCCCTGAACTAGACAAAAATCTTTTTCTTCCACTACTCCCTTCCCAGTCAGAGGCAGGTTCATGTTCTTCTCTTCCATATCTTCTGGAGGGGCTAATATTTGACTTGTTTCTCTTTTCCCCCAGATCGCTTGAGCTGGACCCACTTCTCTTTTTCTCAATTCCTTTTGAATGACTTAATCTTGACCTATGGTGTCTCCTCCCGTAGATGTTCCTGTGTCCTGAACTTGATGAGTGACCTAATTTTCCATTTTCTGGAGAACTGGACTTGGACCTGTGCCTTTGTTTCCTGGTCTTCTGTGATCGCCTAGTGTGGGATTTGGGTTCCTCTCCCGCACTCCAACTTGAATTACCAGAACCTTCTTCTTCTTCTTCCTCTTCTGTTTCACTCTGTTCTTGGTGATGGTGACTAGGATATTGTTTATGTGACCCTGAAGCTTGGCAGTATTCTTTTCCAACAGACTGGTTGCAGGCCATAGTCAGTTTGAATATCATCAGAAGAAACTCAATGAAGTCCACTTTCCTGTCGTGGTCTCGATCGAGCATGTGCATGAACACCTCCACAGTGTCGGGATCATCAGGGTTCTGTCCAAAAGCAAGGCATAAAAGGGAAGTCAATCAGTCCAGAGCCCCTTGTCTACCTACCAGTGAAAAGATGGGTATTTATATACTTATATATTCATATTCATATGGGTATCTCTGGGTAGGACTTGAGTTAGCATGCTGGCTTGACCTATTTTGAAACAGTTGAGTATCCATAGACATGAGACAGAAAGGAACAAGGTAATATGGGCAGAAACCAAGAGTCTGCTTAGGGATGTAGGGAGATTATAGGGCATAGGGAGATTATAGGGCATAGGGAGTGTAAGGCCACTATGTGCTACTGACTTAGGATTCTATTTGCCTCTCAAGAAAAGACTTCTTCTAGCCAGAGCAATCAATTACTAATAACAGCATTTCAGACTCACTTTGACTCAAAGGAGCCAAATCTCAAGTTTACTAAATTATAATTTATTGTTTTAGAGTGAATAAATGAGGCACTTATGCTTAGATGAGAGCATTGGATAGCACAAACTTTCAGATATCCATCTATCTTCATACTCCCTTAAAGCTTTGTGTTCAGAGCCACTTAATTAGGAGATGGTTGCCTGTGGTGTGATTTCTAGGCCCCTCTGTCCCTTTTGCCCCAGCAGAGACTACACTATACAGAGTATTTTATGTTTTGTCAATACAAAATGCTGTCTGAAATTTTATTATTGGAGAGTGATTCTTCCTCCTTAGAAATGCTGTTTCTTGGGGGCAGGTAGGTGGTGTAGTGGATAGAGCACCAGCCCTGAAGTCAGGAGGATCTGAGTTCAAATCCAGCCTCAGACACATAACACTTAGTAGCTGTGTGACTCTGGTCAAGTCACTTAATCCCCAATTGCCTCAACAAAAAATTTAAAAAAAAGAAAGAAAGAAATCATGTTTCTTTAGAGAAATGGTGTAACCCTAAGTCAATAGTATTAATATTAATTGATTTTCAGATTACTTTCAATTATGAAAGCAACCTGGGACAAGATAGAAGATACTTGATTTCTGAGTCTGGAGTGAGGTTGGGATTTACAAATACTATACTGAAAGAGGGCACAGAAAGAGAAGGATCAAAGAAAATACATGAGAATGTAGCTTCCTCTCTCCTTTACAGAGATAGTAACCTGTGGATGCAGAACACTACATATGATGTCTGATTTGGTTGATGTGGTATTAGTTTTGCTGAATTGTGTTATTTTTTCTTCTCATCACATATTTTATTCTTTGTTTTAAGGGATGGCTCTAAAGGAAAGGAAACAAGAAGAGAAATGAAGGTGATATTAGAAAGATAAAAAAGGAAGAAAGGAAGGGAGAAAGAAAGAAAAAAGAAAGAAATGTAGGAGTAGCTAGATGGCACAGTGAATAGAGTTCTGGCCTTGGAGTCATGAGGACCTGACTTCAAATCCAGCCTCAGACACTTAACACTTACTAGCTGTGTGACCCGGGGCAAGTCACTTAACCCCAATCGCCTCACCTCCCTCCACAAAAAAAGAAAGAAAGAAATGTAAGGCTACTGAAGACAAAATTTCAACTATTTCAATTTGCCTAAAGCCAGCCCTTCTCAGTATCATTAACTTTATGCAACTCAATTCAGTAAGCGTTCATTTATCATCATCTTCTATGGACAAGGTGTTATGATAGAGTTCTATTCAGAGCACTCACAAGTGGGTGACTGTGACTTTTGTTTGTAGCTTTCTAGGCTTAACAAGCTCCTTCTCAAAAAGTTGCCTGTATAAACCTTTGATGCTGGTTGGCAGCCCTTACCTTCAAAATTGGTCGAAACTCCTTTTCCAGAAGTTCCTTCAGCTCCCTTTTGCACAGTGTGCTACAATCCTGATCCTGGCTGGTGTAGTTGTAGTAAACGTCAATAATGGTAAGAATACTGCTCAGGAGGTGGGACATCTTGTTGTAAGTTTACGTGAGCCTGAGAAAGAAAGAAAAAATGAGGTGTCTCGTCATTCTCTTTCTTTCTTTTTCATAATTTCTTCTTCAGTAAGCCTAATCAGAAAAAACAACCACAAAGATATTTGATATCTTTTATCTCTTTCAACCTTAAAATAGCCCAATGAGAAATGATGGGTTAGATATGATTCATGTCTTTTGATATCGCAGAGAAGGGAATTCCTTGTCCACAATGAACCTAGGGCTGGAAACCAAGACTCCTAATCCCTAATTCAGAATGAATGCAGAAACCATGACTTTGAGTTTTATCTCCTTTGCCTTCAGCAGTATTAAGCACCTTAGTTTGGAGTCTATATACATTTTATCCCTCATCCACCATTTCCATTTCAGACACTTTCTATGTCCCATTACTCCAAGAAAACACACCAGTGGGAAAGGGTCTGTGTCTAGGAGGCTTTGGCCCTTGGGGGCACTGACCACCACATAGAACCCTCATCCCAATTCAACTAAATTTAATAAATATTTGTCTAATGAAAGTGAGTAAAACCCACCAAAGCTCCAGGAGAAGAGAACCTAGAAAGTGGCTACCCATGAAGACCTGGCCTCAGTCCACATCTCCACACTTAATCATTATAATCACACTGTTATCCACCAGGATTTTCATGAGCATTCAGTTAAATTAAGTACATGTTCAATACAATTCCACCATGTGCAAGACACAGGGTTCCATACAAAGATGAAAATGACAATTTCTAACCTAAAGAAGATTATAATTTGCAAGGGGTGTGGTGGGGGGGGTATGGAGAGATAGGGAGTGGAGAAGGGGAATTAACATGAACAAGGAAGAGGGTGATAGGGGGCAAATCCAATACAGCAAGAGAGAATGAGAAATTCCTAAGTGTAGGATGAAACCAAATGATCAAGAGGAAGACTTCCATGAACCTTAATGAACTAGTGGTAGAGAACATCACAAGTACCATTTCCATCTCACTTCCCTACTTCCTGTCTCACTCCTTGAATTCCTGTGGTCTGAGTCTTTTAATTGCGGCTCAGAGTTTCCACTTCCACCAGATAATTTTTCCCTTGATCTTGTTCGACTTCAGTCTCCTTAATATTTGGGACTAGAGGACTCACCTGCACCTGAACCTAATTGACTGGCTCACTAACATTTGCCAGACCATAGATAACTGAGCCTGTTTATGTAGACTTGGACTAGAAAGCTTAGAGTGCTCAGCTGGAAAGACAATCCATTTCTGCCCTGATTTTATCCATGTTCAAGCGAAATTCACACCAAGAGCATACCTAAAATTAGACAAGAAATCAGTGCTTCCAATAGCTCAAGGCAGTCAATATTACTGGGTTTCTACCAAGTAGGTGGAAGCTCAGCCAAACCCTCTCTCACTTACCTAGTTCACCAAAGGAACAAGTAGGATGTAGACCAAAGCAGCTTACAGGGTGCTGGCTGTTTGGGATGCTAGGCTTTTTATAGTGGGCTTAATGGTCCATCTTAGCAAGGTGACACCCTTTCTGTGAGACAACCTGATTCACTTACAACCAAACCCAGCTCCACCTCCTTCTCCACCTCTCTGTCTCCAGGGCCATTTGTTTACCTCACTTCACTTCCTCACGTATTCATTTGAGATTGCGTTGGCAGCTTCCAAACTCAGGTTGGGATTTGCCCCACCTGTCAGTGTGGTTGAGGACATTTTGCAGAAGAGCCTGTATGGACATTGTGAGCTCCTCACAGGCAGGGACCACACCTTGCCTATCCCCCATTTCTCTCACTACAGTACTGAACCCACAAAAAAAATGAGCCACATCCATGGACAGGAAGCCTTTAGACCAGCTAGAGAATTTCTTTTCTTGGCACCATTCAGTTGATTTGAATGGCATTTTGGAAATAGTGGAAATTAATCAAGAAACAGGTGGAACACTTGTGACACAAAGTTGGTGCTAATCTGGTCATCTCCAAGGGCTTTTCTGGGCAATTGTTGGGGATGTGTTCATGAAAAGTCCTTAGAACAATTTGGGATAGCTTTATGGGGAATGGACTCCTTCTCCCTATTACCTTCCTTACCTTGGCCCATCCTCCCTTCACCTGTTACCATTCAATACTACGGTAGTTATTTGGGTCTCAGAGACTTGTAAAATGGAATTCATCAGATACTGACATCAGAGGCAAAGTGAAAGAATCCAATACCAGTTGTTAATCCATGAAGGAAGGGATTAGCAAAAATAAATAAATAAATAAATCTAGAGATGGTTCAGGAACAGACCAGCCAGCAGAGATATCTTATACTTTTCCATCAATAAATTAATTAATTAACATTCATTATGTGTTTAACATGTTCTAGTCACTCTGCTAAGTGCTGTAATAGAGATGTAGATTTGAGGGTCCAGGACAAAAAGACTTTGATAGCAAGCTAATCTACCTCCTATATATAACATAGCTTCATTCACATGTAGCACCCTTTTATCTTGTTTTGCTTTGTTTCAATTTTTTTTCCTTGTATTTTCCTGAGATGGCATGCAGTATTAGAGAGCCTTCCTTTGTAAGCTATCCTGGGTGTCCCCAAAGTCTTTGTGCAGTTTGAAGTGTTAATAGTTTAAACCTATGCTAAGACTTTTGGGATACCCTGTATTAAAAAACGAAACAAACAAAGAAAGAAGCAAATAAAAACGGTGGGCAAGCCTTTTGGATCAGAGTGCTAGACAAAGGGGCAGGCAATTAGGGTGGTAGTGCTGGCTCTACCAGTAACTGACCAACATTGAGCAAATTTCTTTAGCTTTTGGAATTTTTGTTTTTTCATTCTATAACTAAGGCACCCCTAGGTACTGGTTTCCATTTTATTGGCCATTCTTTGGAATGCTTACATTCCTCCAAATGTTTGCCAAAAGGCAGGTGGGTCAAATAGTATTTGGAAAGAAATACAAGAGAATGTATTACTAGGGTAAGGGACTTCTGGGGAACAGATTTAGTCAGTGATGTCTGCTTAACTTTTTGGATGTCTGGTATTCTGGTAGGCTCTTGAATAAGTCAGAAAGCTTGGGTCTAGTTCTGAAAGAACTGTTCTTAGAGATCCTGCTAATTAGCCAGAAGTCACTGGCTGCTCTGTACTCAGGCTAAAGTACATTCTCTGTGCTATCAGACCTTCTAGTTCTCTGACCCAAGCTATGGTACTTATGAATGAATGACCAGCATATTTTCTTGAGTGAAAACTACCTTGGAATAGGTTTGTCTATACTTATGAAAACCTAAACTTTGGCCTTTTCACTACATGCTAGTCAAATTCATAGTTTCTTTGTATAGACTATCTTTTTTCTGAAGAAGCCAGTCCACAGGTTGAGTTACAGTGTACATTTCTTGAGTCCCTTGGCTTTCTCAAAGACCGCTCTCTGAAGCCTTCAGTGGAATAATGCTTTCATTTTCCACAAGAAGGATAGCAAACTCTCCTCTCATGATTTACAACTACCTCAGATTCTGGAAAAGGAGAACCTCAACTCAGAGATTATTTATGAAAGCTGAGGCAGGCTCATAGGATTTAGAGCTGGAGGGACCTTAGCTATTATCCAATCCAACCTCCTCATTCTATGAATGAAGTCCAGATGGATAATAGGAGAGCTAGTAAATCTCAGGATTGAGTCTTTAGCCCAGGTCTTTTGACCCCAAAACCATTTGTCTTTTCACTTTCCTGTTCCCAGTGTCTGTTCCCAAGTTCAACTTTGTCTCTCCTACTAGCTAGGCGGACAAGAGACTTGGGCAAGTCATTCGCTGAGCTTGTTTCCACATTTATAAAATGAGGATATTGGACTAAATGATCTAAAAAGTCCTTTCCAATTCCACAATAAATATGCCAATAAATATAGCCTTGTTCTTGTCATTCGGTTGTTTTTTAGTTGTGTCTGACTCTTTGTGACTCCATTTAGGCTTTTCTTAGCAAAGATACTGGAGTGGTTTGCCATTTCCTTCTCCAGCTGATTTTACATATGAAATTGAGGTAAACAGGGTTGAGTGACTTACCCAGGGTCACAACACTAGTATGTATCTGAGGCCAGATTTGAACTCAGGAAGATGAGTCTTCCTGACCTCAAATCTGGCACTCTCTCCACTGGGCCACTTAGTTGCCCATAAATATGGCCTAGAAGGTCATTTATTACTAAATTCAGGGTTCTGTTTATTGATAAAGCCTTTTTTAACAAGTTTTTCTCATCCATGGAGGTTGTAGGGCAAATCTGTCCTACATAATGACCTCCTTTAGCCTTTTCTTAGTCTTGCATGCTGACCCACTTCTGAAATTCCTCTAAGTGAAAAAGTAAGAAAGGTCAAGACACCAATGAATTATTCCAGGAAATCCCTTTCAAATGGTCTCTTTTATTTTTCTCCCTTCATTGGAGAGAATCCCATTTCAATGCTGTTAGAACAGGGGCTCTTAGTGTTTTCCATGTCATGTACCCCATTTGGCAGTCTAGTGAAGCTTCTGGATCCCTTCTCAGAATAATGATTTTGAAAGCAAAAAATGAAAGTATGTGGGATTACAAAGAAAACCAATTATGCAAAAATATAGTTATTGAACTATTTTTAAAGACAGGTTTGCAGACCCCAGGTTAAGATTTCCTGCATTAGAGTAATGTAAACAGTGATGGGGATAATTCATTATTCCACAAAAGAGGACACCTAGAGGAACTGAGTGGAACTTCCCACTTTTATGTTGTAATACACTCTACTAGTTTTGTTCATTTTTTTTTTGACCCTGTCAAGAGTATCCTTGGCTATTTTCCCCAAAAGCATAGATATAATTTCTGGATAAATTAATAGATTATAGGCTTATAAATTTATAAATATTACATGGTGTGGAAGAAAAGTTAATATATCAAATGCCAGACTTGGGATTCAAAATGCTCTCATCAGAATTTTCAGTCACACTGAATAAGGTGAAATTCAAGAAGGTTAAATATAAAGTCTGAAACTTCGTTTTAAAAACTTCACAAATGTATGATGG